GAAGACCCACTTTGTCCCAATGACATGTTGATGAGTAGGTCTGGGAACAAGTTTCCAGACGTCATTTCTGGAAAATTGGTTGAGTTCTTCTTGCATTGCATTGATCCAATCAGAATCAGCTAGAGCTTCTTCAATATTCTTTGGTTCCACTTGTGAGATGAAACAAGCAAGCATAGCTTCTAGATTCTGTTGGGCACTCCTTGTGCGAACACCAGATTGAATATCTCCAATGACTTGTTGAGGAGGATGATCCCTTAACCAACGAAGATTGTGTTGATTAGGGTTGACTGGTTGATCTAGTTCAGCTTCTGGTTGAAGAACAGAGTTTGTTAGTGATTCCGGATGGATTGACACTGGGTTGCCATTTCCGGAATTGTCAACATTTGACTGATCCGGAATAATGGAAGGCTGGCCATGATTTCCGGTAGGCTCAGCACTGTCTGAATCCGGATTTCTTTGTGAAGTCTTTAGTGGTAGACTTCCGAATGGAATGAACTTCATAGGCTTCATTCTATCTCCTTCATTGATTTCTTCATCCTTTTCTGAGAGATCTAGAACCTCATGATCATGCTTTGATGGCTTGTCAACCACATGTTTTTCATCAAAAATAACATGTATTCACTCTTCAGTGATCATGGTTCTTTTGTTGAAGACTCTGAATGCTTTGATCACCATAGAATATCCAAGGAAGATGGCCTCATTTGATTTCTCATCAAAAGTGTTCAGATGATTCTTCTCGTTGTTTAACACAAAGCACTTGCTCCCAAAAATATGGAAATATGATATATTAGGCTTTCTCCCGTTCCATAGTTCATAGGGAGTTTTGTTGTGCCTTTTATAAATCATACTCCTATTTTGAGTATAGCAAGCTGTGTTAACAGCTTCAGCCCAGAACCTCTTTGGCAAAGAAGCTTCGGCTAGCATGGTCCTTACTGCTTCCTTCAAGGTTCTGTTCCTTCTTTCAGCTACACCATTCTGTTGAGGCGTCCTTGCTGCAGATGTCTGATGAAGAATTCCGTTTTCTTCACAGTAATGAATGATGATTTCATTCAGGAATTCTGTGCCTTTGTCAGATCTAATCTTCTGAATGGTCTGACTTGCTTGGTTTTGAATCAGCTTCATGCAGTTGGTGAGTTTCCCTTGAGTGTCCTTCTTGCTGTTGAGGAAGATTGTCCACGTGTATCTTGAGTAATCATCAACTACCACCAGGACATATTTCTTTCCACTTAGACTTATTGGAGTAACAGGGCCAAATAAGTCCATGTGAATAAGACTTAATATACTTGTAGTTGAGGGTGCCGGTTTTGCCTTGAAAGTAGACTTGACTTGCTTTCCTTTCTGACAACCATCACAAATGCTTTCCTTCCTGAATACAGCTTTGGGAAGACCTTCAACTAACCCTTCTTTGGATAGCTTGTTGAGGGTTTTGAAGTTGAGATGACTCAACCTCTTATGCTAAAGCCATAGAAGGTTAGTGTCACCTTTGCTGATTAGGCATGCTTCCTTGACATCGTCCCATATCACTTCATAGATGTTCCTGATTCTCTTCCCAGTGAGAATGACTTCATTTGTGGAGATGTTCTTGAGGGATGCCATGTCCTTGCAGAATTCCAAGGAGTAACCTTTATCACAAAACTGACTTATGCTAAGAAGGTTATAATTGAGACCTTCAACATAAGATACAGCTTGGATGGTTAGTCCCTTGTACACCAGATTTCCTAGCCCTTTAGTAAGGCCAAAATCATTGCTTCCTCCAAAAGTAACTCTTGGACCATCATAGGGAATTAGATTGCTCAAAAGGCTCGCATCACCCGTCATNTCTGTAGAGAGTTTGATCAACATCCTTTCCATCTACATCCATATCAAGCTTGGTGGATGTACTCATGGGGACAGAAACGGATGACTTCTGATCAACTTTGAATTTCTTGATAAGATCCCTTGTGTACTTGGCTTGGTTGATGAGAGTCCCTTCACTTCTCTGTTTGATTTGAAGACCAAGGAAGTAGTTGAGTTCCCCCATCATGCTCATCTCAAATTTTCCTTGCATGATTTGGACTAATAAGGGATGTCGTCCTTGGTTGAGAACTTGGTGAAAAGATCTTCCTTAGTTGAGCCAAATATGATGTCGTCCACATAGATTTGGACTAATAAGGGATCTTCTCCATCTTGTAGTTTGAACAATGTCTTGTCAATGACTCCTTTGGTAAATCCATTGTCTATAAGGAATTGAGACAATGTATCATACCAAGCTCTTGGTGCTTGTTTGAGTCCATACAGCGCCTTTTTGAGTCTATACACTTGATCTCCTTTAGTGTGTAACTCAAATCCTGGAGGTTGTTCCACATAAACTTCTTCCTCTAGGTTTCCGTTGAGGAATGCGCTTTTGACATCCATTTGGTAGACTTTGAAGTCCTTGTGAGCAGCAAAGGCTAGAAACAGCCTTATAGCTTCAAGTCTAGCAACTGGAGCGAAGGTTTCATCAAAATCTATACCTTCTTCTTGACAATAACCTTTGGCAACCAACCTGGCTTTGTTTCTGACAACAACGCCATTTTCATCCATCTTGTTCCAGAAGACCCACTTTGTCCCAATGACATGTTGATGAGTAGGTCTGGGAACAAGTTTCCAGACGTCATTTCTGGAAAATTGGTTGAGTTCTTCTTGCATTGCATTGATCCAATCAGAATCAGCTAGAGCTTCTTCAATATTCTTTGGTTCCACTTGTGAGATGAAACAAGCAAGCATAGCTTCTAGATTCTGTTG